AGCCTTTCTGTACTTCATTCTGTGCTTAACTCTCGGATTCTTCAGTTCCTTCTTTCGCTTGGGAGTCAGTCCTTTGTTTTTCGCCATTTCGTATGTTATTCCCCTCTTTGCGGTCGCATCCGTTTCCCCCACTTCCTGGGCTTCCGGTGCCGTCAATTCGCTCACATCTATATCGTCAGCAAATTTGACTCTCTTTTCGTTGCCAACGGTTTTCGCTTTTTTGGTTCGTTTTCTCGAAAAACTCACAGATTGTTTGGATTTCAATTTCTCTAAAACTAAATCAATGTCACTATCAATGCATTTGTTGGTCGAAGCGATTGAATTCATTCCATTTAACAATTTTTTGAATGAAATGATCTCTTTTAAGACCGGATGCTCTTTCAATGATCGGTGTTTGCATTTCAGACTCATATAAAAGCATATATTTATGCAGTAATTGATGATTATATGAAATCTGGTTTCAATGTATTTAAATCCGTTCGTGTCATACACGAACCTCTTCCTTATGGTTTCCATTACCGGAAATAATCTGTCCTTCAGTTCTGTGAAATACGTTTGAAAATCAGTGATCAATGCCTCCAATTCTGGCGACTCTTTCCTAAGAATTTCCAGTTTTTGTCTTTTCGTTAAATTCGAGAGATTTGTCTCAAGTCTCTCTTCGTCTTCTTCCAAGTCTTCACGACTCCTATCATTAAAACCAGTTTTTGGTTCAATATCTCCGACGAGTAACTCGAGGCCAACGTCTGCTTCACTGATGGACTCGAGAAGACGTTTCTGTATTTGAAGCGCTTCTTCCTCTTCAAAGTCCGCCAAATCCGAGTCCTTTGGAGTGTATTCTGAGTGCAAACCAAACGACAACTCAATTAAACATTCATTCAATTCAAGAGTAAATCCCAATTAAATACTTCTGAAGTCTTTGTCGACATAATCGGTGTTATAGAAGACCTTCTTCTGGTTGCCCCACGCGCTCGACTGTTCCGTCTGGTCGTCGCTGTCGTCCTCCAGATCGCTGGCCATCCCATCCTTTTTCAATTCAATGCCAAATCGGTTCAATCCGTCGCCGCTGTCGTCGTCGCTATCACTCGACTCATCCAAAGGCATCACCTCATCGTCACTGCCGTAGTCCTCGTCATCGGAGTCCATGTCTTGAGACAAAGCGCTTCTTTCGAGCAGTTCTTTGTCTTTCTTCGTGTGGAAGTGATTCATGTGATCGTCGAAGTCATCGCTGGAATCGGTGTCAGAGATGGTCTCTTTGGCACCACTCCTGCCATTCGTGTCTTTGTTGCCACTCTTTGGCGCAAACCTCTTCTTTTTGGCCATAATTTGCAATCAAATCAAAGATGTGTTCAAAAGATGTGTTCAAAAGTTATGTATAAGTGATCCAAAAGTGCTGTAAATGTGTTGTCAATGCATTTGAAATGCATTTAAAATCCATTCAAAACAAGTCAATGAGACATGTGTTCAATGAATGCATGACTACTACGACGGCTCACACGAGACACCACTCACTGCTTCACAATTGATGCGCATTTCAAAGACTTACTATTTATTGGATACAGTATTGTATCCAAAGTATACACAGTATT